TTCCAGTTTTGCAACAGATTCCAACAAATATCCTTATATGGATGATTTGGATACGGATCCTTCGTTTGAGGATGTCGATAGGAATCTCCGCGTGGAGGGTTTCGGCAATAATCCTTCAGTGGAGGGTTTCGCCATGAACCTGTCATGCGAGGGGCTTTCAAGAGGAACCCTTCGTGTGGAAGGTTTCAATAGGAATCCTTCTATGGTGGGAACTACTAGGAATCGCCATCGCAACGCCAAAGCAGTGCCAACGCAATGCCAAACCAATGCGATGGCAATCCCAATACAATCCCAACGATATGCCTGGGGGCAATCGATTGCGGTCGGTTTCAATAAGATCTCTTCTATGGAGGGCTTCGAATGGGTTCAATATGAGCCCTTCTTGTGGAATGTTTCAATCGGAATCCTTCTCGTGTGGGGCGCAATACGAAACATTCTGCGAAGGGGGGTTTTGGAACTCGCCAGCGCAATGCTGGCGCAATGCCAAAGCAGTGCCGACGCAATGCCAACCTAATGCCAAGGTGATCCGAACCCAATGCCAATGGAATGCCAACGGGGGAACGCATGTGTGATCGATTTCAAAAGGAATCAATGTGGAAGGCTTCGCATGGAATCCTTCCGTGTACGGCTTCAACATGAATGAGCCGTGTGTGGGGAGGGTTTCGGTAGGAGCCCTTCTGGTACAGGGTTTCAATATGAGTCCTTTTGTGGAGAGTTACAGTTGGAACCGCCAGCGCAACGCTTGCGACATGCAATCGCACTGCCAACGCTCTGTCAAGCGCTATGCCAACGCAGTGCCAATGCGATGTCTAACCATGGCCAAACAAATGCCTATGCAATGCCATGCGGGGTATTTCTCTCTTTCGAATCATCTAAATCACAAGAAATTCTCATTCTAAGGGAAGGGGGAGCAGGAGGAAGACGAGGAGGAGGAGGAGGAGGGAGGCGGCGGAGGAGGAAGAAGAGGAGGAGGAGAAGGAGGAGGAGGAGGAGGGAGGAGCAGAGGATTTTCCTTTGCCCCCCCCCCGAAAAAAAAACAAAAAAAAAACAACAACAAAACAAACCAACAAAAAAAAAACGGCGGAGCCGCCCCGATTTTTTTTTTTTTTTTTTTTTGTTTTTTTTTTTTTTTTTGTTTTTTTTTTTTTTTCTTTTTTTTTTTCTTGGGGGGGGAGCACCAACGAAAACTGTATTGTTTTCCGTACGGAGGGAGAGGAGGAGGAGGAGGAGGAGGAGGAGGAGGAGGAGGAAGAGGAGGAGGAGGAGGAGGAGGAGGAGGAGCAGGAGGACGAGGAGGAGGAGTAGGAGGAGGAGAGAGGAGGCTGCCACAGAGCACACATTGCATTGAACGACACACGCGCGAACTCAGTGTGAAAGCCTCGCGTTGGCGCCCGCGACGGCGAGGTACTCCACAATCCCCCGTTCTCGAGGAGGAGGAGGAGGAGGAGGAGGAGGAGGAGGAGGAGGAGGAGGAGGAGGAGGAGGAGGAGGAGGAGGAGGAGGAGTCAGGAGGAGGAGGAGGAGGAGGAGGAGGAGGAGGAGGAGGAGGAGGAGGAGGAGCAGGAACAGGAGGAGGAGGAGGTGGAGGCGGAGGAGGAGGAGGAGGAGGAGGAGGAGGAGGAGGAGGAGGAGGAGGAGGAAGAAGGGCTTGGCCTGCCGAAGGGGCGCGTTCGTGGCGGCTCGACACTCCGCGGCCTCCTCTCTACCTGCGAGGGCGGGCCTGATCGGGCCCCCCGAGGGCCAGAGCTTGGCCGAGGTGTTCGGGGGCCGGCAACTCGAAAGCCAACACAACACCTCCTTTGCACCGTCCGAAGCCAGACCCCCTGGGCAAGGGCCGGGGAGTTGGTGGAGCTTCCTCCGCCAGTGCTCGTGCAGCTACGGTCGGACCGAGGTAGAAGATCGAGGTCGTTTCGGAGAGGGTGCCCTAATGTTCTTCGTGCTTGTTGGCTCTTCTTATGCACCCTGGGGAGGATACCCTTGGATGTTCTCTGTGTTTTTCGCCAGCGGAGGGTCTCATGCTCTTGAAGGTTGCTCTTCTGTTCTAGGTCCGACCATGCCCAAACAAGCACACTTCGTGCAGATCTTCTGACTGCTTATCACCCTGCGCTAATCGGAGGGGTGCACAAGTCTTACCACCGGCACGGAAGGAGGAGGTGAGGGCTGAGATGGAGGAATCGGGAGGGCACCACAGGGCTCTAGCTAACTGGTGGCTTGGCGATTTCGTGGACCGTTTTCGTTTTAATCTCGTTTCGCAGCAGAGGCAGAACAAAGACAGAACGAAGGAAAACGAGACCAGCACGAACCTTGGGGGACCATTGTACGCTGAAGCAAAGCTCCTTCCTGGGCACGGGTTCGCACGCATCCATTCGTATACCGAGGCTCGCGTTGGGCCTGGTTTACAGTGGAAGCACGACCATCGACACAAGAACGAACGACACAATCCAAGCTACAGCCCTCCATGTTGCGCTACGGCCCATCGGGGGCCGCAGCGTCTGCCACGCAAAGTCCCACGCCAGATTTGCTCGTATGCGCTGAGCCCCGAGGGGCCGCATGTGGGGTGGTGTCGTGTGTCTTCCGCTCCAGACCAGCGCTTTTTGTCCTGTCAGTGCTGCTGCACGCAGTGGCCCGTCGCACGCTCGCGCTCCTGCTGGAGCGAGGCTATCTCCACGGACCTCGGGCGCGGAGGCGGACGCCGGTGCTCGACCCTGGGCGGCGGGCAATGTTCTGAGGCTGCTGCGGCAAGTCGCCCATGCACCCGTGCCAGGAGGTGTTCGTAGAAGTGAAGCGAGCTGAGCCGCGGCAGGGTCAGGCTGAGGGCCCTGTCGGGGCCTCGCTGCGCTGGAGTGCCCGCTCGCCAATTCCCCAGGGTGGCATGTCGCGGCTGTCGGGGGATGCTCGGGCGCACCCCGCCCAGGTGGGAGTCGCACTTCTTGGGGGAGGCACGGGCGATCCTGTCGGGCCTCTGGGGGACTGCTGTCTTGATTCCTCTGCCACCATTATCTATGGGGACCTGGAGGGTGCAACCAGGGCCTGCCGTGCCAGCCTTTGTAGACCAGCGTATTGCCCGTCCAGATCTCGAGGGGGCCTCGGGTGTAGAGGATGCAGTTGTACAAGGCTGCCAGCTCCCCGCACGGAACCGTCTGGGTCCCATCTACCGTGCCGGATACTGCTGGATACATATGTTGTTCGGGAAGCTCAAGGCGAACGCAACTCCCCAGCTAGCTCTTGCGATCCGAGGGTCCGCTGACCAGCCGATCCGTCGAGGTACGCTCTGTAGGGTTTTAGGCGGGTGCCTTCAATCTGCGTGTAGGCGATGATTTGGGGGAACTTCATCCAGATCCACGCCGTATACATTTTGTTGTTCGTTCCATGTGGGGGCTTCTGGAATCTCGTTGAGCCTGACAGGGAGAACTCCACGACACCACATCATTTTAATATCTGGCTCATCGTTCATGGATCGTACTGCTTTCCGTTCGAGGTCTTGGGTACGGCGGATCTAGTCGTGGTCGATGTCGTTACAGTTTGTGGACGCTGATAGAAGCGATGGAGCATGTCTTCCGTAGCCCCTCCACAGCGAGGGCACTTTGCCTTGTACGCCTGCCAGCGAGCTGTGCAGTCCAGCAGCTGCCCGTGATGACGCTTTCCATCGCGCTTGCCTCCTTGATGTGCCTTTGCGGCGCATCCAGAGCAAAGTGCGCTGCGCCGCCTTGTAGGCGACCACTTCCCTGCCAGTCCGAAGCCTTCTGGATGGTGGCTTGTCTTCTTCCACATGCCGGCCGTGATCTGGGCGTGGACTGTGACATACAGGCTTTGCATGCCCGTGTCGTTGGGGTTGTAAGGCCCCTCGCTGTCGTCATGGTCGGTCCACCGATCTGGCTCCGATCGCTTCTAGCCTAGTCGGTCCATGGCCACATGGCCACGCGCTCTTGGTGTAGACTGCCAACCATCCGATTTGTACTTGAGCTTGCTGCTGCTTCTGCCCAGAATCTGAAGCATTCCTGAATTTTGCCGTCGTCTGTTGAACGAGACTGGGTCCTGCTTGTTCGTAGGTGTGAAGCATGATGGTGGACGGGCACCGTCCTCCAACCGAGAAGCCTGCCGTGGTAGCTGCTGTTGCTCACTCCTTCTGGGCTCGCCCTGCGGGTAGTCCCATTACCGCTGCATCGTGCATTCGTTTTGGCTCTCAGGCCAGAACGCCGTTCCTGGGAATTCAACACATCGAATCAACATTACTGTTGCACCCGCGTAATCCTGAATCCTTTCAAAACACAATTTCTGGCACGTTGATGATGGGAATCCGTGAAGCACCTGTAAACTGTTAGAACGAATGTGCGCCGCGCTGAGGCGAGAACACTGTTTTGAAAATGAGGCGCCCTCAATCCGTGAAGCTCTTGCATTTTTAAATGAATGTGCGCCGCGCTAAGGCGAGTGCCACATTTTGAAAAGAAGCCACCCTCAATCCGTGAACCTCTTGCAAATGTTTTACACGAATATGTGCTGCGATAAGGCGAAAGTCACATTTCGAAAACCACCCGCCCTCAACCCGTGAAGCTCTTGCAATATTTTAAACGAGTGTACGCCGCGCTAAGGCGAGAGCCACATTTTGAAAACAACCCGCCCTCAATCCGTGAAGTTCTTGCAAATCTTTGAGACGAATGTGCGCCGCGCCAAGGCGAGAGCTACATGTTGAGAGGATGCTGATGATGATGATGATGCTGATGATGCTGATGCTGATGCTGATGCTGATGCTGATGATGATGATGATGATGATGCTGCTGCTGCTGCTGATGATGATGATGATGATGATGATGATGATGATGATGATGATGGTGCTGCGCTGCTGCTGCTGATGATGATGATGATGATGATGAGGAGGAGGAGGAGGAGGAAATGGAGGATGAGGAGGAAGAGGGTGAGGAGACGGAGGAGAAGCATCAGGTGAAGGAGGAGGATGAGGATAAGGAGGAGGAAGACCCTCTTCCTCGCCCCCGGCTGCTCAGGTGCAGCGCTACCTGGAGTTCCAGTTCAGGCGGCTGGCTCCTCCCCGGCCCGCTCTTTCCCCCCCACCCCCCCTGCCGACCTGCACCCAGCCTCGGTCAGGCCGCCGTCCGCGTCCCCACCTCGTTGGGCACCCTCGACCTCCTTCTCTTCCTCCTCCTCCTCCCCCTCCTCCTCCTCGATTTCGGTTTCGGCCTCGTCGTCGTCGTCGTCGTCGTCGTCGTTGTCACCTGGTGGTCTGGCACTGCCGTGAGGATCGCTTGGTGCCGGTGCACGTTGTAAACGTTCCTGTTCTCGGTAGGGGCAGCTTCCTCCACCACCTCCTCTTCCTCCTCCTGCTCCAGCTCCTCTCTCTATCTCTCTTTCTCCCTCCCTCTCCTCCTCCTCCTCTTCCTCCTCCACCTCCTCTCTCTATCTCTCTTTCTCCCTCGCCCTCCTCCACCTCCTCCTCCCCCTCCTCCTCCTCCTCCTCCACCTCCTCTCCCTGTCTCTCTTTCTGCCTCCACCTCCTCCACCTCCTCCTTTTCCTCCTCCTCCTCCTCGTCCTCCTCCTCGTCCTCCTCCTCCTCTCTCGATCTCTCTTTCTTCCTCTTTCTCCTCCTCCTCCTCCTCCTCCTCCTCTTCCTCCTCCTCGTCCTCGTCCTCCTCCGCAGCTGCTTTGGCTCCAGGGGTGTTTAGTTCCGTATCCTGGGCGCGTGCCGCCCAGGCCCCTCCGTGGCGTGGGCGCGCAGCGCCCGGCCATGGCGGAGGACGACGAGGGGAACGCCAATCGGCGGGCCAGAAGCGCACATGAGGGGCGTTCCAAAAATTGCCTCGCCTTCGAGGATCGACGGAATGGTCATCTCTTCCGCGGCGGAAGGCGGCGGAAGGCTGGCGGAAGGCGGCGGAAGAAACAAAAGACGCCTCCAAGAGATGAAAACGTTTTGGGTTCCGAGTGTCCGAAATCCGCCACGCATGAGGCTTGGAGCCGTCTGGGGGTCTGAGGTGGCCCAGTACTTGTGCCGGCCGGCAGGAGGGGCGGGCAGGTTCGAGGTTCTGGGTTCGGGAGTTTTTTTTCTCGGCTTCCAGGGGCCGTTTTCGGGCCCCAGGACCGTCACGAAGGATCCGCGGTGAAAAATTGCACCACAAGGACCCCGGGAGGGGTTCGGGGACCGATTTTGAGCGCGTTTGGCCGCATCCCCCCTTCTGACCGATTGTCTGGGCTCCCAACCAGTTCAGACCCTCCATCCGCCTCCAACATTACAACATATACCTATACGACCACCCTTCGGGTGATAAGGAGGTTGTGGGGGGGGAGAGGGGGGAACCAACATCTGACTCAATCGATTTCACTATCGATCTCACTCAGCGGGACACCACGGGACACCACGGGACACGTGTCGATCTCACTATCGATCTCACTCAACGGGACACCACGGGACACCACGGGCCACCACGGGACACCACGGGACACCGCGGGACACCTCTCGATCTCACTATTGGTCTCACTATCGATCTCACTATCGATCTCACCCAACGGGACACCATAGGACACCACGGAACACCACGGGACACCACGGGACACCTCGGGACACCACATCGATCTCACTACCGACCTCACTGTCGATCTCACTCAACGGGACACCACGAGACACCACGGGACATCACGGGACACCTGTCGATCTCACTATCGATCTCACGTTTTGCGACACCACGGGACACTTCGGGGCACCACATCGATCTCAGTATCGATCTCACTATCGATATCACTATCGATCTCACTCAACTGGACACTACAGGACGCCAAGGGACATCACGGGACACCACGGGACACTTGTCGATCTCACTCTCGATCTCACTATCGATCTCACTCAACGGGACACCACGGGACACCACAGGACACCACGGGACACCGCTAGGGCCACGGCGGACGGAGGATAATCATTTGTCTTGACTTCGCCGTAGCAGCGGCGGACACCACGGGACACCACGGGACACCACGGGACACCACGGGACACTTGTCGATCTCACTATCGATCTCACTATCGATCTCACTCAACGGGACACCACGGGATACCTCGGGACACCACATCGATCTCACTATCGACTTCACCGTCGTTCTCACTATCGATATCACTCAACGGAGCACCACGGGACACCACGGGACACCACGGGACACCGCTAGGGCCACCTCCGGACGGAGGATAATCATTTGTCTTGACTTCGCCGTAGCAGCGGCGGACACCACGGGACACCACGGGACACCGCGGGACACTGCTGGGGCCACCGCCGGACAGACGGACGGAGGATAATCATTTGTCTTGACTTCGCCCTAGCAAAGGCGGGTTCATTTCTCTCGCGCGCCTACGCAGCTTCGCCTCGCCCGCACGCGCGACACGAACGAGACGAAACGATTTCCCGGTTGGGGGTCTCCGTGCCCCTGCGGTTTCACCCCCCGACCTCCGATACATAGTGCTTGAAGGATGGGGTACTCCTGTTGCCTGGGCCGTCTCATACTTGTGTCGCCTTGGGTCTGTTTTCCGTTCCGCAATCCCACGTCTCAAGTTTTTTCAGGGTGAAATGCCTCCGCAGGGACTCGGGCGGGTTCTTCTGGCGGCCTTTACAGGAGCTTGGTTGGCCCCATCGCCCCTTCGTGTCTGGCTCGGCGCGCCGAGTGGCGCTCCCCTGGCGCCGAGCTGCGCCGCCCCTGCTCCGGCGCCGCGCTGGAACAGCAGCTGCCCTGCGGTCTGCCCCGACCTCAGCGAGGTCTTGGCGGAGCTCCACGAGCAGCGGCGTGAGCGCGAGCGGCTGGCCGCTGGGCGCGCGGAGGCGCTGCAGCCGGGCGTGCCCTGGTACGTTGAGGTGGTGACGGCCATCCTGGGGAGCCTGGCTTTCTACGCGAACGTGGTGATAGGGCTTATCTGGACCTCTCTCGTCTTTGTTCTCAATGGCTGCCGCTGGTGTCGCCAAGCCTGGTCTGCACGCTGGACAGAAGGTGCTTCTCCTGTACGGAGACGAGCCGAACCTCTGGCACGAGGCGAGCATCCTCCGCAAGAGCTCCGAGACGTGCTACAGGAGGATCCACGGCGAGGACCCTCCGGTGAACAGTTGGCTCTGGTGGATTCTGACAGTGGACGGCGACGTGTACCCGCAGGATCTCTCCGTGCCCGGGGACCTGCAGGCCCTTCGGCTGCTTGATGCCGGGGGTGAGGTGACTGGAACGATGTATGGGCGAGGCCCCGACGCGTTGTCTCGATACGGCTTCGGGGCAGGTCGGCGGGAAGGTCCTCTCGATGTGCTTCTCTTTCTCCCTGCCAAGGCTGTGGCTGACGAGGAGTAGCGCAAGGAGGGTGGCCATGGAGACGCTCTCGTGTCGAAGTCGCCGCCTCCCGCCGCAAGTGGGAAGATCTGGCGGATTGCGTTTTCATCAGATCAATCTTTCAGTCGTGGAGCCGAGTGTCCGTCTGGAGTCGAGGGTCATCATTTCACTCTCGTGAAGAAGGGCGATGCTGATGCCATGATGGTGGCTACTCCTGGAGGGGTCTTGCAGTGTTACGCCGCCACCGCCGACTCGATCGACGAGGACGCAGACACCCGGACTCTCTAGTGGTGTGGCGAAACAACGCCCGCCGCCGCCGCTTCGTGGAGGCCGTCGACCTGATGCAGCACCACGACTACGGCGACTCTCCTCTCGAAGGGGAGGCATCCATTCTCTGGTACTTGGAGGAGATCGCTCGAAGTGGAGAGGGTGGTCCCGTCCAGCGCCACTACAACTGGGCCCACCAGTTGAATTCAGGTGGCGATCGCTCGGTGCACGAGCACTTCTGCATCATGAAGGTTCTCGAGTTGGCTGCCGAGGTGGACCAGCTCAACATCCCCACGCTGGTCTCTCTGGAGGCGCTCGGGCGGCGCGCCATGCTGATCGAGCAGGCGCACCTCAACTCCCCTGGCAGCCCCGACTACACCGGGGCCGACGATTTCATGGGATGGGGTCCGGGCCGCGGCAGGGCCCTGGTCGCCCCGACTTTGGTCAAGCATGTGGCAGAGAAGGCGCGTGACAAGGCGTCTGTGTATAAGGAGTTGCGCAAGCACAATGAAGAGCTACGTTTGAGGAAGCCGCCCAAAGGCCCCAAGAAGGAGGGCCAGGGCGGTGATCATTCATGATGAACGGCGGTGGCCCCTCCCGCGGCCCGAGGGTGGGGCCGAGATCTAGGGCGCTGCCGGCCACGCAGCTGGGCTTTCTCGCTGGTGTCGTCGCTGAAGAGCGTGACGTCCCGCGGGAACTTCTTCCTCTACCGTATGTCCCTCAGGGGCCAGTCGCTGGTTCCCACCTTCCCCGGGGAGTTCGGCAGCGAGTCCAGGGGCGACGTCGGCTCACGGACGAGGTGAATGAGAGCACTTGGGCCCTCAACTGGCTCGTGGGTTCTTCCGCCGCCAATGCCAAGTTTTCTTCTCTTGGACAGCGGGCCGCCGTTGACCACCTGTACGAGACCATCAATTCTTTTCGGCCGCCACCTCAGGCGGCCTCAGACGAGGAAGCCATGCGTGCGCTTCTCGGCAGCAGAGTCCCTTATGGCGGGGACGATGACTTGACAGTGGTTCCCTACGACCGTGCTCTGGTGTCTATCCCCGGTGACGGGCGAGTTCCCGTGCCCCTCATCGAGGTGCTGCCGCCGGATGCCGCAAAGATGATCGTAGATTTTGACACCCACCTGCTCAAGGACGACAACCAGTGGGGAGCGGAGGTGGAGCGTGGTCTCGAACACATCGGTTCCTACATGGACCCTCGGCTCCGCTTCAGCCGCCGCAGTTATCTCAACTTCATCGGGGACCTGTTCAGAGGTGGGCTTCTCGCCTGGCGACGGGCCGACCAAGTTCGAGGTGGGATCTCGGTATTTTTTGCACGAGAGAAGTCGGGCAAACAGCGCCTCGTCGTCGACTGCAGACGCGTCAACGCCCGCTTCCGAGAGTGTCCTCGCGTGCCAATGGGTTCGGGATCTTCCTGGGCCGACGTCGTGATGGACGCGGGCACTGACATGTATCTCTCGCTTAGTGACGTGAAGGACTACTTCTACGCCTGCGGTCTGCCGCCAGGCCTCGAGAGCTTCTTTTGCCTCCCCGATATCACTGGGGAAGAGCTGAAGGTGGTCACCCAGGGCGACCCCACCTTTGGATACTTGTGGGGCTCCACGGCGGTCGCCCCCGCTATGAAGGTGATGCCGATGGGGTGGACTTTGAGTTTCTTCTTCGCGCAGGTCTTGCACGCTCACCAGGTCCACCAGATCAGGCCCTGGTCGCCCGGCGCGGTCATGCAGGACCGCGCCCCTCCGCCTCCTTTCAGGACGGGGACCGAGCTGGCTCTGCCCTACTGCGACAATTTCGTTGCGGCTGCCTCCTCTCTAGCACAGGCCGACGCTCTCCGAGAAGATTGTAAGCGCCGGATGACCTCGCTCGGCTTCGAGGTCCACGAGGAGGAGGCTGCCCGCCACTGGGCCGAGTCCTTGGGGTTCGCCATCGACGGACTTACTGGGGAGCATCGCCCTCGCCCTGTCAAGGCGTGGCGACTCCGCCAGGTCTGTCGTCGCGTGAGCCGCCAGCGACCCTGGCTTAGCGGTCGGCAGCTGGAGCGGCCCTTGGGACATGCTACTTTCCAGTTTCTGGGGCATCGGCCGCTACTCTCTGTCTTCCGCAGTTGCTACACCTTCGCGCAGTGCCACTACCTCCGGCCGCGGCGGCTCTGGCGGACCGCCGCCGAGGAGCTCCGTGCTGCCGCTGCTCTGCTGCCCTTTGCGCGGGCCAACATGCGGCGGCCCTGGGCTTCGGAGGTGGAGGTGTTCGACGCTAGTCCTGCTGGCTGCGGGATCATGGCGGCGACCTTGCCGAATGAGGTGGTCTCTGAGATCGGGAAGGTCGATGAGAGGTGGCGCTACGCTTTCCAGTGCGAACAACCTGGCGGGCCTCGTGAGCACGCCCTCCGTTCGGCCCCTCCTGTCGAGGAGTGCTTCAGCAACCTTGAGTCCGTTCTCCCTCGCGACTGGTCTCGGCGACAGTGGCGGCCCGCGCGAGACTTCCCTGAGGTCCCAGCTTCCATCTTCCAGGACTTTGACTGGCGCGAGTGCGTGGCTGGCCGCTGGAGAGACGAGGAGCATATCACTATGCTTGAGGGGCGCACGGGGCTGATATCTGCGCGGCGCACTTGTCGCCCGCTGTCCAACCGAGGCAAGCGGCATCTCAAGATAGGTGACAATCTGGGTATGATCCTTGCTTTTGCCAAGGGGCGTGCAGACAACTTCGGCTTGCTGATGCTTTGCAGGAAAAAAGCCGCGTTCACTGTTGCAATGGACATGACAATTCGATGGCGTTGGGTTCCTTCAGAGATCAATGTTGCTGATGCCGCCTCTCGTCGTTATCTTATGGAGGATCACCGCAGCCGCGATCGAGGCCTGGCCCGCCTCAAGCTTCTTCGAGGCTCGGGCTCGGGGCCACCCGCGGCAGCTCGAGTGGGTGATGAGACGACTGCTGCCGCCTACACAGGCCAGGCGGTCCCACGGCGAGGCATCTGCTGGTCTCCCACAGGGGCCCGCCGGCAGCCGCCCAGTCAAGGAGCCGCGGGTCTCTCGCGTGCTGCAGGCGCCGCATCGCCAGGCGTGCTCCGCCTCCCGCGACGACAGCCGGGGGCTGCCGCCCCCGACGCACCGCCGCCTGGCGGGTGCCGCCTCAGCGCGGGCGCTGCCCGCCAACGCCGACCGGAGCCGCAAGCTGCAGATCCTGGCGCGGCGGGCGCGGGCGAGGGCCCGCCGAGCGGCCGTCGAGGAGGAGCTCGAGCTGGAAGGGATCATGGTGAGCCTCCTCGAGATGAAGTCCGTCGGCAAGCAGTCGATCCCCTACTATCTCCAGAAGTTCAGGGATCTCTTGGACTTCGTGGTCGACCACGGGTTCGACCTCCACAAGGGCGAGGACGTGGACGAGGCGTTGGTGCAGCTGATGGACCTGATGTACTTGGATGGGTGGCAGGTCGATCAGGGCGAGAAGCTGCTCGCGGCGGTGAAGCTCGGGATCCCGCGTTTCTCCAGAGCGGGGCTAGGCGGCCTGCCGCGCGCGGCCCGCGCCCTCCGCGGCTTTCGGAAGGCCGCTCCCGTGGCCTGCCGCTTCGGGCTGCCGCATGCGTGGGTCGTCGCGATCATCGCGGCGATGCTCTGGCGCGGGAGGCTGGAGAGCGCCCGCCGGGTGGTGGTGATGCACGATGCGTACCTGCGCACTGGCGAGGCGACGCGGCTCCGGGCTGAGGACTTCGCCCCACCGGTCGGAGACCATCGCGGCCGCGAGCGCGGCGCGATCATCCTCGGCTCCTCGAGCGCCGGGGCCCCCACCAAGACGGGCGTGCTGGACGACGCGGTCACCCTGTCGGACTGGGACTTTCCAACCAGCAAGGTACTGGAGCTTTTGATGGCCCAGCGAGCCCCGCACGAGCCCCTGTTCGTCGCGAAGCCCGCTGCCTTCAGGAAGGACTTCGATCAGGCGTGCCTCGACCTCGGACTCGACAAGCGGAACCTCACGAGCTACCAGCTCCGCCGCAGCGGCCCGAGCCGAGACGCCCTTCTCGGGCGCCGCGCGCTTCCCGACATCATGAAGCGCGGCAGGTGGGCCACTCTCTCGTCGGAGAAGAGGTGCGAGAGGCGCGGAGTAATGCAGAAGGCGCTGGCCAGCAGCCCGAAGGAGCTGCTCGACTTCGCCGCGGCTGTCGAGTCCTCCATCGCGGGGGCGCTCCTTGGACGGCCGTCCCGAGTGGCCAAGCCGCCCCGTGCCTGCAGCGCCGAGTTGCGGCCGAGATCTTCTCCGGCTCAGGGCAACTCGCCCGCGCTCTCGCTCGGGGCGGAGTCCCCACTGAGGCTTATGACGTCGCCGATGGCCCTGGTGCTGATCTGTTGCGGCCAGGCGTCGTGAGGCTCCTTCGTGACAAGATTCGTGCTGGCTCTTTTTGTCTCATGTGGTTCGGTGTGCCTTGCAACACTTTCTCACGTGCCACTGATCGTCCTAATGGACCGCGCCCTCTCCGCTCGAACACTTATCTGTATGGTTTGCCCAACCTCGATGCAAAGCAGCGTGCACGTGTGTCGACCGCCAACAGGTTAGTGCGTGTTGTATGTAGTCTGGCTCGTGAATGCAACAAATGTCACGTTCCATGGGTCATAGAGAATCCTCGGACCTCCCGCCTGTGGCTTTTAGATGAGATGCAGATTCTTGAGAGGAAAGCGTCCGCCGTTGTGCTAGACTATTGCATGTATGGGATGCCCTGGAGGAAGTGCATTCGTTTTGTTGGCACTCTCCCGGGTCTGGAATCGTGGGAGCGCCGATGTACGGGGAGAGTGTGTCGACGCATTGGCCACCGCCACCAGGCCCTCGAAGGCAAAGACCCCTCAGGTGTTTTCTGGACCAGGCGGGCGGAGCCATATCCCACTTCTCTCTGTAATGCTATCTCCTCCTCTGTCGTCGCCTCCCTCCCTCCTCTCCCTCATTCGAACAGCTTCTGGTGCTGGGGACGGGTTGTGGGCCCTCGCCGTCTCTGTACGTCTCATCGTGACAGTTTCGCTCGGGCCCAGTCTTTAGGCAGGCGATGCTTTTAAGTAGCATCTCGATATGATTCCAGTTTCTCTGGTCTTGGCATAAAAGAGTGCTTGAAGGATGGGGTACTCCTGTTGCCTGGGCCGTCTCATACTTGTGTCGCCTTGGGCCTGTTTTCCGTTCCGCAATCCCACGGCTCAAGTTTTTCAGGGTCCTCCTGCCTCCTCTCCTCCCCCGCTTCTTTCTGGGTTGTGGGCCCTCGCCGTCTCTGTACGTCTCATCGTGACAGTTTCGCTCGGGCCCAGTCTTTAGGCAGGCGATGCTTCTAGGTAGCATCTCGATATGATTCCAGTTTCTCTGGTTTTGGCATAAAGGAGATATACATATGTTTATGTATATATATATATGTATCTTGCGAAGGCCTGACGGCCGGTGCCGCCGACCCTAAAGAGGACCACGACGTCGGCGACGAAACGGGCGGAAACGGAGGCCGTGGAAGATGAGGAGGAGGAGGAGGCGAGGCGGAGGGGGAGGAGGGGGAGGAGGAGGAGGAGGAGGAGGAGGAGGAGGAGGAGGAGGAGGAGGAGGAGGAGGAGGAGGAGGAGGAGGAGGAGGAGGAGGAGGAGGAGGAGGAGGAGGGAGGAGGAGGAGGAGGAGGAGGAGGAGGAGGAGGAGGAGGAGGAGGAGGAGGAAAATGAGTAGGAGGGAGGGAGGAGGAACGCGGAGGTGGAGGTTGGAGGGGGAGGAGTGGGAGGAGGAGGAGGAGGAGGAGAGAGGAGGAGGAGGAGGAGGAGGAGGAGGAGGAGGAGGAGGAGGAGGAGGAGGAGGAGGAGGAGGAGGAGGAGGAGGAGGAGGAGGAAAAGGAAAAGGAGGAGGAGGAGGAGGAGGAGGAGGAGGAGGAGGAGCAGGAGGGTGGCCGAAGAGAGGGCTCCGGCGGCACCAGAAAGCCTCGATCGTCGAGTCTGGGGTTCGGAGTCCGCAGAGTGATCAGGAGGAGGATGAGGAGGAGGAGGAGGAGGAGGAGGAGGAGGAGGAGAGCAGGAGGAGAAGGGGGAGGGGGAGTTTTTCTACATGTTCAGTCTTTTGTCATTTTGGGAACCGGGAAGCCGCGCAGGGTTCCGGAACCGCGCGGGGACCGCGCCGGACGCGCGGGGAGTGAAAGCGTATCTGGGTGGCGACTCCCCCCGGGACCCCGCCCAGGACCCCCCCGGGACCCCCCCGGGACCCCCCCGGGACCCCCCCGGGTCCTCCCCGGGACCCCCCCCCCGACGGGGAAGGGACAAAGGGAATGGGGCTTCCTTTTGACGTGGTTATGACATGGGTCGATTTTTCTCAAGCCCGCTAGAGCACTGCAACGACGACGACGACGACGACGACGACGACGACGACGACGACGACGAACGGCAGAGCCGCTCACACGCCGACAGGGTCGGCGGATTTGTATATATGTACATGTATATGTATGTATATGTGCATATCTGCATATATGCATATATGCATGTTTGCATGTATGCACGTATGCACGTATGCATGTATGCATGTATGCATGTATGCATGCATGCATGCATGCATGCATGCATGTATGTATGTGTATATATATATATATACACAGATTACAAGACTGCATTTGCGCTTCGCGCAATGCACCTTGGTCCTTGAATTTTGGTATGCAGGTGGAATGGCAGGAAGGTCACATCAACAATTTAGCGATAACTTCTTGTTGCATTTTCCGGCATCGCCGTTATGATAAATGTTGTTCGTTATCCTTTCTCTATGTTTCTTTTTCCTCATTCTCGCCATACCCTGTGTATTCTCCCCATCCTCCTCACCTCTTTTTGCGGAGGCTCCTCCTTCGAGAGTCTCTGGGAGCCTCACACAAGTTTCTCAGGCTTTCTTAAGGCCTTCTGGGGGCCTCCTGCGCGGTCTCCCTGAACGACCGGGTCACGATTTGGAATGCTTCGGAGGGTGTTTTGGGGCGATCTTGGGCCGTCATGGGGCTCTCTTAGGCCATGTTGTGCATTCTTGGGGCTTTCTTGGACTGCCTGGAAGCCCTTTCGCATGTTTGTGGGGCGATTTTCGAGCTTCCCAGGCGGCTTCGGACCCCCAGAAAACCGCCTTCTTGAAGCGTCGGGAAGCCGAAAAGAGGAGAACCCCAAAATTCACCAAAATCCATGAGAAAGTCAATGCGTTTTGCCTCTTTGTGCCTTCTTGGGGGTGCTCTTGGAGGCCTCTTGGGGCGTGTTGGAACGATCTTTGGGGGTATGACGGCTTCTTTGGGGTCGTCGTGGACCGTTTTGGGGCTAACTGGGGTCGCTGGAGCCTTCGGGGGCCGTCTTCGGGCTCTCGTGGAATTCTCCCAGGTCGTCTGGAGGGTTGCCCGATAGGCCCGGGGTGGGCCAAATTCGTTAGGTTGCGTGTGTATGTGTGTGTGTATGTGTGTGTGTGTGTGTGTGTGTGTTTGTGTGGCTTTTTCCAAGGTCCCGGCCCTATTAAAATATATGATTAGGAAATAGGAATCTAGATCGATAGTTTGATCGATAGATAGATCGATTGACATATCGATCTACACTTACACACATATATAGATACATATATATATATATATATATATATATATATATATATATCCGTATATGTATATGTATATGTATATGTATATGTATGTGTATATGTATGTGTATTTGTATGTGTAATGTGTATGTACATGCATATGCATACGTACATGTATATGCATATGTATATGTATATGTATGTGCATATATATAAGTATATTTCTAGGTATATGTTTGTGTATGTGTATATGTATGTGTATATGTATATGTATATGTATGTGTATATGTATATGTATATGTATATGCATATGTATATGTATTTGTAAACGTAAATGCACATGTATATGTATATGTACATGTATATGTATATGTATATGTATATGTTTATGCATATGTATATGTATAGGCATATGTATATGTACATATATATAGGTATAGGTATAGGTATAGGTATAGGTATAGGTATAGGTATAGGTATAGGTATAGGTATAGGTATAGGTATATGTATTTGTGTCTGTATTTGTATATGTATATGTGTATGTCTACGTATATGTATATGTATGTGTCTATGTATATATTTGTATATATACAGACTATACACATATTCGTATGTGTATGTATGTATGTATGTATGTATGTATGTGTATATATATATATATATAGTAACTCCTGTTTTTATATTTTATTACCCGGGCCCCCCCTTAAACCGGACCCCCCCCGAGGGACGCCTTGGACGCCCTTTCGGACGTCTCAGCGGCCCCCTGGACGCCCTTGGAAAAGGTCCGCTGGCCCTTCCGGGTCTCCCAGGGCGCCTTGCCGGGCCTTTCGCGCAGACTCAAGGCGATCAGAGGGGTCATCGGAGAGGCGCAAGAGAGTCCCAAGACAGCACAAGAGCTCTCCAAGAGGAACTTCGATGGTCTGAGGACGACCCAAGAGGCCCCCAAGACGCCCCAAGAGGCTGTTAAGAGAGCCCCGACCGAAGAAGCAAAAGTCGTTTCACTCCCTCGGGAAATTGTATCAGCTTAACATATCCGCTGCTTAGGACTTCGCAGCGTCCAAGACGGCCCGATGGGTCCCCGATGTCGCCCCAAGACAGCCCAAGAGGCCCCCCAGAGGGTTTGAAGACGGCCCGAGAGGGCCCCAAGACTGCCCCAGAGAACCCCGAGACTGCCCGCAAGAAGCCCAAGATGCCCCCAGAAGGCTCCCAAGAGAGACCCACGAAAGCCATGGGAGACCCCCAAGAAGGCCATTGGAGGTCACCAAGAGGGCCCTAGATGGCTTCAGAAGACTACTGGAGGGCCCCAGCTCCCCAAGACGGCCCAAGAAGGCCTTGGGACGGCCCAAGAGGGCGAGGACGGCCCAAATGAGTTCCAAAAGCGCCCAGACGGAGTTCCCCTACGAAATACATC